GCAGGTTGTTCTTAGCGATGCTGCGCATCTAGGGGCGCTGCTCCTGGCGACACAGTGCTGCTCTTCCGGTTGTAGCTACAGAAACTGCACGTTTCCCCTCTTTTTAACCACTTCTCAGCTTTAGTTCTTTGGCTGATCTGTTGTCAGGTTTTGAAATTGGAGAATTCATAGGGAGGGGCCCACAGTGAAGGTGGAAGGAGGACGGGGACCCCAGGAGCCGGTTATTCCAGAGTGAGAGAGCGGCTGACTAAGGACAGTGAGAACAGGAATGTGTGTTCACCGTTTCTCGTCACCACCTGCGAGAATCCAGAAGTTCCCCAGGCCCTCCCAGTGGGAATGCTTGCTTCCTAGGAACAGGAGGACTTGTCACTTCTCCACCTGGACTTCTAGCTCCCAAGTCGGACAGCCAAAGGCGGAGCTATGGACCTGAAACCATAACCAAGTGTTGCCATTAGAACTTTAAACTTAAGGAGGCCATGTCAGAGCAGGGATGGGAGAAAGGGTGGCTTTCAGCAGGATTTAGACCCTCTCATTTGGTTAGCAGGGCTTTCCATCTCAAAGGTGTATAGAGTCGCTGGAGACAGCGAATTCAGAAATAGGACATCGGCTGCAGTGTAGAAAAGTCTAGGGAGTCAGGACGGTGGTAGTGCTTGGGAGACTGAGGCAAGAGGTTCGCCATGTGCTAAAGGCCAACATGGGCTCCCTAGTGAACACCAGGCCCACGTGAACGACAGTACCAGACTGCCTCGGAAGAACATAAATGAAAAGGAGGAAGGGGAACTTAGAGGGAAAACGATTCCTTCGGTTAACGGTGACAGCATGGACTCAGAGTTTACCTCAGCAATAGCGCCATGCCGGGAGAACATTAACGTATTGCACACCACTTAAATGCCCCTCCACCACAGCTGCGATGCTCACAGTATGAACTCATGGTTAGATTTGACCGTCTTGTGCGACCCTCGCCCTTATCACTTGCTTTCTTTTCTTTCTTAAACATTTGTCTTTATGGTTTTTTAATTATTTCTGTGGGTGTGTGTCTGTGGGTGGCCATGTGCTTGGAGTCCGCTGCCCATAATGGCTGGAAGAGGGCAGTGGGTTTCCTGCAGCTGGAGCCGCAGGTGGTTGTACGCCCCTGATGTGTGTGCTGAGAACTAGACTCGGTTCATTTGCAAGGTTTCACCGGCTCTCTAGCCTTTTCAACAATAAATTCTGTTTTTATCTTTTGTTTCATTTTCTTTTGGTTAGTTTTCTCTATTCCTTTATGGCAGAAGAGAAGTTGTGTGGTATTTGAAATCAGATAAAACCACACAGCAAATTGAGCTGACAATTGTGAGCCTGCTGCCTGGTTACACATTTTCTTTATGGTTTTTCCTATTATCCATATTTAAGAATGAACCATGTGACAGAAGGCAGTGTTAATATGAGGGGGTCAACCTTGACTGGCTGAGACCTTAGTACCACAAGATTAAGCCAGTGAACAAGGTGCCTCGTTGAAACTTGTCATTTAGTCACGGCTGCCTCTGTGGCAGGAGGGCAGACCCCATAATGATTATGTATAGGAGATGCGTTCATTCACTTTCTCTCCCTAGCTCTTAAACATCGAGCCTGCCTTGAGATAAAAGTTAGTCATGTTTGTTGATAGCCCTAAACTAAAACACTGTGTTCTGGGTGTTAATAAGAACTTCACAAGCAGAGATAAGGTATAAAAAGACAGGTACTTGAGTACTTTCCCCAAATGAGTCTAAGTAGCATTGACTTATATATACATATAAATGTGTATGCATGAACATCAAAGCCTGGTATCAATGAGTGACAGGGACATAAGTGACAATAGTTTGTGAGCATACACTTTTTTAAATAGAGTTTTTAAAATTTATGAAAGTTTTTTCTTTTTTATTGATTATTGAGCTCTACATTTTTCTCTGCTCCCCCCACCACCTCTCCCCTCCCCGCTTCAACCCTCCCCCAAGGTCCCCATGCTCCCAATTTACTCAGGAGATCTTGTCTTTTTCTACTTTCTACTTCCCATGTAGATTAGATCTATGTAAGTGTCTCTTGGTGTCCTATTGTTGTCTAAGTTCTCTGGGATTGTGGTTTGTAGGCTGGCTTTCTTTGCTTTATGTTTAAAAACCACCTATGAGTGAGTACATGTGATAATTGTCGTTCTGTCTCTGAGCATACACTTTTAAATGCAGTTAGCTTGGTAGCCCCTCCCCAGGCTGTGAATCCCCATCTGTCTGGATAAACACTGGTCTTGGGTGAGAAGGGTCTCTTCCAGCATCTGTATGGCTTTGGGGAAGTTGCCTCCATGCCTTTGGGCAAAGGGACCTAAGAGCCCCTGAACAAGCTTCCTGTGTGTCTGAGATCATCTCTCTGGGGTCCACAGGAGAACCCAAGAAGCAACTCGGAGTGACTCTTGTGAGTTTTTCATAAAGCTTCAGCCTGAGAGGTGACTCTCATATACGGAGTTCTCAGGGGGTCCTGAGGGCAACTGGTGATGGCCATTAGCAGCGCTTCAGTTCACGGTGACACACGCTGTATGTATCACTGCTCCCGTTGGTACGTCTGCTCAGGACTATCACACTGTGGTGTCCCATGCTGAGTGGAGCAAGGCAGTCCTGCTCCTGAAGAGACTTCTCTCCTAAGGAAGACTTAGAATTTGAGTTTGTGACTTCAGAGTCCAGACACTCAAGATCTGTGTGAACTGGGTGCTCAAGTCCTTTCCTCCAGACCAAAGGATTTTAAAGGGCTTCTGAAATACACTGCAGTAGGCAGGTGGAACAATATTTACTTGTTTATCCAAGCTCAGAGGTTACTTAACTTTTTGGATGCATGTGCAGTGTAGGTGTGTGTGTGTGTGTGTGTGTGTGTGTGTGTGTCCACATGCATGTGGGGGGCAGGTAATGTCTGGTGGTATTGCTCACAAGCTATGCATTTTATGGTGTTTTTTGGGATGGGATTCAGACAGGCTGAATGGCAAACAAATCCCAGGACTCCAGTGGCCTCTGCCTCCCCAGCACTGAGATTACAAACACATATCACCACAGCCAGATTTTAACATGTCAGGCTTTGAGCCCAGGCGCGCGTGCTCCCGTGGAAATGCCTTTATGACGTCACATCACAATGTTGGAGCACTCCTTTAGACTCTTGCTCATGCAACGTGCCATTACACAGAGAACTTGCTAATCTTTGACCTAACAAATAGCATCAATCTGTGGAAGGCAGTGGTTTGTGTGTGTGTGTGTGTGTTGGGGGAGTGCGTGGCAAGCAGAGAGGGCCCAAGCTGTTAAGAGTTCTAGCTGGCTCTGCTAGAATACCCTTTGGTTTGCAGAACCCGTGAGAAATGCTTATAGCCACCTGTGACTCTGGTTCCAGGAATCCAAAAACCTCCTCTGATTTACGTCAATGTGACAGACACAGGGGAGGTCAGGACCCCACTCCATGGGGACCTAGGGTACCAAGGAATAAGTGACATTCCTTCCGGGTTTACATAAGGATGCGGTGGTATCCCTTATAAGTGCAGTCATCCAGGGAAAGCATAGAGCCTCCACGGGACTAGAGTCCGCCCATAGTGCAATCCCACTGTGAGAAATGGTCAGTGTATCTTGTTCCCAGTGAGCCATGTCAAATGCGCTTGCCCATCTGCCAGACACCAGGCTGCACTGCGGTCACAGGGGAACACTGCACGGTAGCATACAAGTCATAGCTCTCTAAAATGGTGTCACCGTTGTGCATCGTGGGCCTTGTGTCAGCCACTGTGCCAGGCTCTAGCACAACAGTGCCCATCTTTCTCTCTCAGATCCCATCGTCTCAGGTTCAAGACGGATTGCCTCAACAATACCGACAGAACCTGCAGGTCAGATTGCTGATGCATTAAACACGACAGTCAAAGTGCACACGGCTTCCCCCGGCAATAAAAGAGAAAACAAAACCCAGATTGGTCAAGAGGGAGAATGTTCACTGAGCATGTGCCAGGTGCATGTATGGGAGGTCTACAATTCAGCAAACAAAGGCAAAGCAAAATGCAGGACTTAGACCCAAGTGCACACATATTGTATGATGGGAATTATGACGGGGTCCTAGGCAATAGATTAGATTTCCAGCACCCACATGGAAGCTTACAACCATCTACAGTTTCAGTCCCAGGGGATCTGACACCTCTTTTAGCCTCTGATAGCTCTGCATACATGTGCTACACATGTATTTATGCAGGCAAAACACCCATACACATAAATTGACTAATTTGAAAATTTTAATTCAGGGGTGTGTGTGGGGTGTGTGTGTGTGTGTGTGTGTGTGTATGTGTGTGTGTTAGGAAACTGTAACCATCCCCTGTATTGACTGCAGCTTCTCCAAATGGCTCATGATGCGATTATAGTATCAGCATAAACCGGGCATGGAGACATATTATGGATATACTTTTAAATGATGCATTTTCTTCCTAAAATGACTTGGTAATGTCTACAAACTCATTTTCTCTTAACGAGTGACAGGGAGGTTGGTGGCTTTTTAACAAGGTTTAAGTAATTACTGTATCTTCTCACATTTTTCCCCCATTTTGGTACACTCTAAGATTTTGGGAATTTCATGATCTTTGAGGAGTTTGGTCCTTTGTTTATGACGATTGTGTTTATTGCTTTCTAGTCCTTTGATCTCTCTGCTCTAATTTGCCCACACGAACAGCTTGAGATGATGTAGGGAGGATGTGATCTGAGGCTCTGTATAATATCACAGCTCGCCTGTCAGAAATCTGACATATTGCAACTAAAACTGACATCCCCAACCAAAATACCCGTGTCTGTAATGCTAGACCCCAAGAGGAGACGTATAGACGGGGTTCTGCCTTTGTTTCACAGGGCCAAACTCGGACTTCTCACTTTCCTAATGGGCTCCTGTGGCCGTCTTTTCTGTCCCCCGCCCCCAACTCTTTCATGTAGGCCTATGTCCTCTCAGCGATTCTGTAATTATTTTTGTTTTACATAGAGAGAAACATGCCCCCCTTTACATATGGTGTTTTTGCTTCCCGCAGACAGAACGAGACAGACGCCATCCTTTGAAATTCCAAAGCTTGTTCGGTTTTTCGCTCTTATGCTTATAACCCGAGTCTCTCTAAAATGTCCTGACCTAAAACACTTTATTGTTTCATTACTATATTCACGCCAGTGAAGACACAGCTGCTTTCTTAGAGATGGCTGGGAGTGCAGGGTAGGAAGGCAAGCTCTGAGAAACCCAGCCTTAGAAAGTCAATCTCAGATCGTGAAACACTGGTTTAACCACTGCTCTTGACAACTTAACACGACAGACTGAAATATAAAAGCCGATGCAAGTGGGATCAATGGATTATCTAAGTCCCGGGATGTCTTCCTGTAAATGAGGAGACCTGACAGAGTGTGTGTGTGTGTGGGGGGGGGGGGGCGCATTGTGCATCCCCTGTCAGACGCAAAGCATAAAGTTTTCAGAGATTAGCCCTGAGTGGGTGTGGGCTACCTGTGCACCAAGCAGAGAGACAAGCATCGCAAGGGAATGAGGTGGTAGGAGGGGGTCAAAGGAAGAGCAGGGCTTGCATGTACAAACTCGGGGGCTCTGTAACCACGGTGGTATAAAGTGATGCTCTGTGCAGATCAGCCGCAGCGTGTCCCTGGATGGCGGGAGGTTCATCCAGGGGATGGCCCGATTACTGCTTTATCTTGTCACGGTAAATTAACATGGCAGTGCGGGGCTAAACAGTGCTGACCTCTTCATCTGGGGGAAGTGCTGCCTAGGAGAAAGATGGCATTTAAGTCTCTCTCTCTCTCTTTCTCTCTCTCTCTCTCTCTCTCTCTCTCTCTCTCTCTCTCTCTCTCACACACACACACACACACACACACACACACAAACACACACACACCACTACCACCACCTCTATCACAAAACACCTTCTTATACTCTTTAACAGTTTAGAGTTAGTTAGACCATTATCTAACTTCAAATAATCTTAGAAAAATATATTTTCTGTTGCAATGACAACAGATCGGTTTTGAGTAGATGAAATGGCCATTTGGAAAGAAAGATGCGATTTTAGGTTATTTGGCATTGTAAGAGTGATGCTATCACCACACAAGGCATGATTTACCTTCTTTGCATTTGTGAAGGGTCAGGATGCTGCACATGTTTGCCCTTTGACCCTCAACTGGTGGCAAAGAGGTGGTGCAGTGAGGCCCAACCCCTCATGAGGGAGGGCCCCACCCACAAGAGAAATACCAGGAGTGTGCCTTACAGGGAGGAGCCAGTCTCTCCATTCTTACCAGGTACTCTCGTTCCTTTCCTGGGAGACAGACAGTCAGGCAAAGGTACAAACACCACTGTGAAATGAAGCAAGGCTTCAGAGCTCACTTCTGTGGCCATTCCGTCAGACTCCCACTGTGCCTTCTATGTGTCTTCCAAAATACATGCATAGGAAATAAAATTAACAAATTGTTATCTGTCTTAAAATACTGACAAATCCATCAAAATTTGGTGTGGGATTTGGCTGACCAAATGGACTAAGGAGGGATCTAAAGGCCCACAGTGTGGTTCTCCCTCCTTGTGCCCAACCCTAGAGTGCATCTCAGAAGGAAGCCCTTCCTCACCCACCACCAGAAAAGGTATTTCTCTTTTCTTTTTTACCCTGAGTTTCAAATCACATTAAAGGCTGTAAACTGAGCTCTGAGAAATCTGTGAAGCCCTTAGTCGCTCTGATTTATGGACTAGGACTGTTTTTTAACCTGGAGACAATGTCCCAAGCTCTCATTACATTCCCCAAGAGGCCTGAGTAGCCAGAATAAACCATGGCTTCTTGGTGTTCCCTCCTGTCTCGGGCTATCACCCGGGCACATCTGCAAACGGGACCAAGTGTGGAGCAAAGAAAACACTCACTCCCAGGCATCCTGCTGGAAATCCTCCTGGCTTGTTCTGGGGCTTTCCCCAGAGCACCCATGCTGGAAATGGTTCATTCCTGGCCAAGTAGATTTGCTCCCGGACCTCGAATTTCCCACTGCTTGATCTGTATCTTCACTATGATTTGACTGAAATTCCAGTTTGCTTCCCTAGTGTCCTGAATCCAGTGTGCAGGCCCTGGAAACACAGGCTACATTTAGCTTGAGAGAGTACTGCCTGGGGCCAAAGCACGGGTTTCTCTCTCTGTTTTTAAGTTGTTTTACCCCTGACCCCTGTTCTCTCTAAGCCGTCTCATGGAGTCAACTTACTACTGCCTGAACTGCTAAAAAAAAAAAACATCAGGATGAAAACAGCGAGCTAGTTCAGTTCATCCTGTTCCCCTGGTGCCATGTCAGAAACTACGCAGGACTGTCACTGTCGCAATAATTTGTATATTTTCAGTATCATTGTAAACATTATGCAATTTCAAACAAAAGAAAAACAGCCAAAATTCTCACCAAATTTCCTTTGTATACTTTGTAATATTTTATAGTAAATAGTAAAAAGTGACTTTTTAAACCAGTCTCTTGCAATTTTCAACAATGTCTTTCTTGAACATTTTTGACTCACATTGAGACATTCAGGACTTAGAGGAACAATCTTTATCTTCATTGCGAATCCATAGTTATTTAGTAAATAGATTTAATGAGTACAGTATGTATCCATCTATTAAAACCATACCTGATTTGTTAGCTATAAATGAGCTTCAGTGAAGAGTGGCTACAGCTATCTCCAAGGAAACAGCCCATTGCTAGGTGATGGAAGATTGTGATGATGTCACTGTAGAAGACAACCTTAGAGCCAGGACGAATGACCAGGGGAAAGGCAGAAGAAGCCCCCAGAATGGAGACTGATGGAAGGCACAGAGGCATGCAAAGAGTAGAGGCTAATTATGCTGGTGATTAGTTTTGAGGGGATTCTTAACGTTTAGAAAGTTAGTGTCCATTGTTTTTCACAAAAGGAAATTTATCCTGGCATGGCGTGTCCCAATCTAATCCCAGAGCTAGGCAGGCAGAGAAGAAACGGAGTGAGTGTAGCGAGCTAAAGCCCTGAGTGTGGGCTGCACAGCAAGACACTGTCTAGGGCAAAAATAAAATAGAATAAAACCAGAGAATGTAAAGTAATGGGGGAATAAAAAAAATAGAGGTATCTGAAATGAGAAATCAAGGAAACAAGAGGTAAGAGAAGTTGTCAATTTTCACACTAAATATAAGTAAGTAAACTTTCTTTTTAAAAAATTTCTCTGGTTTTGTTGAATGTTAATTAATTTCCCTTAAGGACAGATGTAGAATAAAGTAGCACAGAATGCTAAAGTATAAGAAGAAATGAAAATAGAGTAGGCACCCAGAGATGGAACCCAGGCATGGTATGGTTGTCACCAGACAAGGTGGAATGGGATAGATTCATCTTACGTGGCTACATAGGCATAAGTGATGAGTATTTGTGAATCAATGGAAAATGGAAAGAAAGCTGATTTGGTGATAGTTAAAGAATAGTACAGAAAGGTTTAAAATATGTTTTATCTTTGTAGTTTGGATTCTGTGGAACAAAAAGACAAAATTGACTTATCATGTAGCTCACATGAGCACATGTAAGAGACTACACTGGTAAATGGTGTTGACAGAGGCTTCCGTCCTACCTGGTCCTGCAGCCGTTCAGTCCCAAAGAAACACAGAGAGGACTACATTAATTATTAGCTGGTCGGCATGGTAGCTCAGGTTTTTTTATTAACTAATTCTTATACCTTACATTAATCCATAATTCTTGTTTGTGTTAGCCACGTGGCTCAGTACCTTTTAACAGCGAGGCCTTCTCATCTTGCTTGCTCTGTGTCTGGGTGATGACTGCAGACTGATCTTTCCTCTTTCCAGAATTCACCTGTTTTTGTTGCCTTGCCTATACTTCCTGCCTGGCCGATCAGCATTTTAATAAACAAGTATACAAGACAAATCTTTACAGGGTACAAGACCATTGTCCCACAGCGAAATGGTTCTTGGCAAATAAGAAAAGGTCATTAGACCCCTTTAAAACAGGAGTCTGGATATAATGTATGAAACCTCATAGGAGAGGTTTAAGAATACAATGACTGTGGTAGTGTATAATTCTAAGTGCCCTCAGTCTTAACTGGAACATTTTAAGAAGCAATCTCACAAGATGCCAGTGACAGGCAGGTGCTTCCAACTCTAGGAAAAGAGAAGCCCCATGCTGTCTGTATAAAACATTTTTCAATACTAAAAAAACTAAATTGAGCTTTTCCACAGTTGGTACAATTTGTATTTTCCCTTTCGCCAAAGCAGAAGACTGGAAACAACTGTTTACACCACACTGTTCTCCATCCTCTGCAGTTGATAGACGGCTGCATCCACTGCATTAACACTCTCTATCTTCCAGTTGATAGACAGCGGAATCCACTGCACTCTTCTCCATCCTCTGCAGTTGATTGACAGCTGCATCCACTGCATTAACACTCTCTATCTTCCAGTTGATAGACAGCGGTATCCACTGCACTCCTCTCCGTCCTCTGCAGCTGATAGACACTCTCTCTACCTTGACTGTATTTTAAGAAGTCTGAGGGCTTCCCCAGACTTGATTTGAGTTTAAATATTTTCCTTTGATTCACATCTCACAAGTTCTGCATCTACTCTTTACCTCCATGAACTCATCTTAGGATCAATACATTCTTGGAGTCATCTCTCCAGTGCCACACTGTGGTTTGAAGCTGCTTATTCATGTCACAGCCATCCAGACTCCTGAAATAATCACACAGAAATCTGTACTAATTGCAAGACTGTTTGGCCAGTAGTTTACATGTATTTCTGACTAACTCTTATATCTCAACCCATTTCTATTTATCTGTGTATTTCTATGTGGCTGTGGCTTACCAGCAAGGTTTCAGTGCATCTGTCTCCAATGGGGCTACATGGTACCTCTCTGACTCTGCCTTCTCTTTCCCAGCATTCAGTTTAGTTTTTCCTGCCTATCTCTCTTCTGTCCTGTCATAGGCCCAAGCATCTTTTTTATTCATTAACCAATAAAAGCAACACATATACAGAAGGGAATCCTACATCACTCCACTCCCTGCAACAGCAACTTCCATAAATTCCCTTCTGGTGTACTTTAAATATTAAAAAAATCTCTTTAATGTCATAGCTTTCAAATATTGGGTAAGATCTCTTTTGTCTTGACTGAACCCTTGTTTTGAAAGTTTATCATCCTTATGTATGTGCCTGTGTGTCTGGAATATGCATGGCCTCAGTTCTCATGTGCAGGTCAGAGGACTCTTACTGGAATCAGTTCTCTCCTTCCGCCATGTGGTCCCTGGGGACTGAGTCTAGGTTGCTAGATTTGGTCACAAGTACCTTTACCCACCAAACCATCTTTCTGTTCCTTTACCTCTCTCATCTGAGGAATACTTTGGAAAGAAAATAGTTCTAGTGATCCCTCTCATCAAGGTTCCCAAGAGCTGTGTCAATGTTTAAGTTTTTGCACCCTGCCAACTGAATCTCCAGAGCCCATAGCCCACAGAGGACAAGGAATGGCATTGAGATGCACCTCCTCTTTGGGTCGCCATACTGTCTGTTTGTTAGACATTAAGAGATATCTAGTATTCTGCCTTCCTGAACTTCCACTGCATCTCACTGGCAATGGGTTATCTTTCTGTTTCTGAATCCAGGAGAAGGACCCCACCCTCCATCTTTCCTTGTTATTTCTAGTGTGACTTGGATATCTTCATTCTCCCATTCTTCTTATGCCTTCCAGATTGGCTACAAAACAACAGCAACAATGTAAAACCACTTTTGGTGAGTCACCATCTTCCAGAAAATTAACATTTTCAACTGTTTTCTTATGTTGGAAAATCCACCAAAGAACGTCCCAGTCGACAATACTTTCTGCAGTGAACATGCTCCTCAGTGGGGAAGGCCCTGGGAGCAAAGCCTGCTGCAAGTCAGACAGTTGTAATGTTCTATAAGAGGTTCAACAAGGATGGTGCAGCCCCTCATGAATCCCCTAAACATTCACCCTGCCCTTTATGCACGGGTAACAGATCCTTACCACAAGCTGCCCATGTGTTCTCTGGGATGATGTAAAGAAAATAGCACACTCTAAAGCTGAAATAACTCGGTTTCAGGAAAACGTTTCATATGGCGATGATGGTGTCTGAACAAAACAAAACCTCACAGTTCAGGCATTAAGGACAGGATTACATCTGCTGTGCGAATGCAGACCGGTGTGAGCAAGCGGTTAGCTTTCTACGTCGCTGATGATGATGTAGGTCAGTGTTGGTCTTGGAGTTGAGTGTTCGGTAATATGGGTTTAATAATGAAATCAAATGTCAAACCCAAGTACCACTTCCAAGCATATTTGCTTAGTATCTAGGAAAGATGTAACTGGAGAGCATCGCCCCCTCCCCCACTGAGACAAGCTTACATGGGGAAAGTAAATATGGATATGAAATGTGCTTTATTTTAGAGGTTTGGTCAGGAGAGCCATGGTCATTTTGACTCCTTTCTGTAAGTGGGTGAGAACACTTTTCCCCGCTGGTCGAGTCTGAATTTGTCACTGACTGTAAAGGAGATGGGCGGGCATGTCTGTCACCCTCTGATTTCCAGGATGCATCTGGCTAACCTTGCTTCTGAGATTGAAGCCATATGGAGCCTTCAGAATTCTTGCGAAGACAGCCATCTTCCCAACTGTCTAACACGGAGGGCACATGACTAGCTCTATAGCAGAGCCCCCAGCTGTGTCACAGGCTGGTTATTAAGTAGTCCAGCCAAAGAATAATCTAGTATATACATTTGAGTGTGATAAGAAAGCTAGGGGGAGAAAATAAACCCTCAACTAATGTAAATCAATGAACTCATTTGCTTTTAAAGAATTCTGCTGCCAATCTGGGCAAAAGAGAAACAGAGTTTAAAAGCTTTTGTCTGCTTTGCTTAGTATTAAACATTAAAGAGGGTCTAGAGAGATAGCCCAGAGGTAGGAAACATTGGCTCCCCTGGACAATGTCCTCAGTTTGGTTCCCAGCACCCCCATGACAGCTCACAACTGTTTGTAACTTCTAGCACAGGGAATCCAATGCCTCCGTGAGCCCCAGGCATACATGTGCCACACATGGACACACACAGGGAAAACATTCAAATAAAAATAAGCAAATCTTTAGAAAAGACAAACCAACAAGAAATATATGCAAGAATAAATATTCCAGTTTCTAGTGTCATAATGAGAGATCGGAGGCTGTGGGCTCTGTGTTTGCTTATGTCATGAT